CGACGATAGTGGGTCTACCCAAGTGCCGGCTGGGTCAGCGCTGCTCCCAGCCAAACCGCCCCACCACCAAAAAAAAAAGAGAGAGAGGAGAGACTTCCCCTATTAACACAGATTTAAGGCTGAGGACTTCAAGGGCCTTCTGAAGCCTCTCCACAGAGACAAAGCACGCTGAAAAAATAACACTATGTTAGAAAACCCCCCTGAAGCTTGTGAGGGACCCTCAGTCTTCAAAAAAGAAGCTGAGTTCCATCCTTTTTGCGGGGGTGGGGGGGGTCTTTCTTTACCCTAATACCTAGAAATGGAGTTAAGGGCGGTACAGCCCTGTCCACACTGGTCTTGCCTGGGTCCTGGCCAGCCTCCCTCTGGGGATGTGTCCTCGTCAGCACTGCAAGTGTGTGCGGTGCTGGGCAGATGGCAGAGGCATCGAGGCGTGTGCCAGTCAGGTTCTGGGCTCCTTGGGGCACAGGCACTCGCCTGGGGGGAGCTCATGGGGCTTGTTTCCAGGCTGGCCACTCTTGTCCCTTCCGTGAGGCAGTGGCCAATTGCCCATGTTTTACTGGCCACCAAAGAAATCCACAAGGGATGGGTCCTGGACCATTTTTGCCCCCAAACAATCACTCTGAGCTCGTGGACTTTATCTGGTCATTGAGAAGTAATGATGCCTTCGGCCAAGGACTTAGACAACTTGCTGCTCATCGTTCTTCATTCATCAGAAGCTTCAGTAACTTTGGGGAGGTTAAGCGTCTACTTGGGCAACTTTAATGTTTTATGTTTTCGTATCTTGGTGCTGACTAGTTCTGGCAGTTGTTGGTCTGGTAGTTTGGCCCAAGTCTGCAAATCATGATTTTCATGCATTGCTTCCCTGGTGCTGAGAGCTCATATTCATGTCCAGAACCCACCTCACTCCCCAGACCTTCATGGGGAACTATGGGGTAAGGTCCCCAGGAGGAGGCTGACCGCAGGGTTATGGACTTTTAGGGATTCTCCTGTGAAGGTCAGAGTTCAGCACCGGGAGAAGCCTGTGTGCTTCTTAGGAGAACAAGCATCCTCCCTCCATCCCATCTTTTTGTCCCAGTATCTGTGAATAAGCAAATCTACAGAAAACAGAAGAATACAGTCAAAGAGGGTTAGGCCGTCGTTAGAATCTCGTTTGAAAAGTAAACCACATCCTGATGGCCTATTTTGAAAAGTTCCTATATTTTCATTACAAAGTTGGTGGCTTTTATGTCCAGAGTATTCAGCCTCCATGAACTCAAGGCATGTTTTGTCCACAGTTTAATTACTCCATGAGCCACACATTTAATCTGCATCCTGGAGAAGCTATACTGGTAACATGTGAGCTTCACCCACCAGGTGAAAAATCCTATAGGAGTTTTGTAACTCCCACCCCCCAACAACCTCCCAGAAGAAAGAGGACGTATAGAGCAGGGTGTTTCTACACCAAAAGGCACATTTACGGATCCTGCATAGCTGTCTCCTGGCATAAGCAGGGTCCTGACCCAGATCCAAGCTGCAGTCCCTGTTTACGAAACAAGTATTGGCTAAGCAGAAGAAACTGAGTTTTTCCAAAGGTATTTTTAGTCATCGTGTCAGTGATATCCTGGTTTGATGTCATTCCCCAGGAAAGAAAAATGGACAGTCAGAAGTCCAGTAAATGTATTTGGGTGGACACATTCAGATAAATGGAACCAGATAGAAAGTTAGCATCAAATGTCTCTAATGCTGACATTGAAAAAAAAAAACACACATATATCAAGCAGTTAAAATATGTAAAGGAGATGAAGGATGTAACCAAATTCAGGCAGAGGGTGAACACACGCCCCTCTTGGTCTTCTTGGGGGTCAGTTAACAGAGGAGGATGAGCCCCCAGCCCCCAGCTGCTGCTCAACCCCTCTGGAACCTAGGAAACTGAAGACATTTTATGTGAAAAAGCGCAAGCTGGCCTGATTATATTTATCTGCCTAGGTATCCTAAGTAAACTCACTTTGCCCCTCAATAATTGTCTCATTCTTCCCTTTCAGTGAGCATACAGCATCTTGACAAAGAACCAAAGTGATCTCTTGGTTATCTCTTGAACTCCACCCAAACCAACAGATACAAACGCAAAGGCCCAGTGCAGCCCTTCCCACCAGGCTTGATGGAGAAATAAAGAGCCCATTTCCAAATGAAACACTACAATGGCTTCCTGCCCTGTGGATGAGGTACTTACCTTTTCAAGAATGGCCAAATGGGAATATGTTTCAACGTTGTTTTTTGTTTTCTTTTCTCTTTCTTCCTGCCTTCTGTTTTGGAGGGCAGAGGAAAACTGACGATGGGAACTGGATGAAACATGGCCCTAAATCAGAATCTCTTGCATATCCCTGTAGCACCTTCCATCTGAGTGCAGTCAAGATAGAATCCCTCCCTCCAGGCTCTATGAGTTATCAACACAGAAATCCATTCAGAAGGCGGTGAGACCCAAAAATGAGGCCAGGAGAGGGATTTGCCATGCCCTAAAAATGCCACAAACTTTTCCACAGCACTTAAAATGTACTTCAAGTGATCCCAGAGCAAGAGGGTTGCTTTTTGAAAGGAGAAGAAAAATAACTATAACTTATCCATGGTAACAGTTTGAAAAGTGAATGAAATTTTCATTTCTAGTGCCTACTGTCACCATGAAAAAATTACTGGATTATGACACTACACAGTGCTAGAGAGACATGTATAATTTCTTGTGTGTCACATAGTCTACAGCAGGTTGTTGGAAACATTTTTAAATGTGGAGAACCAAATGAAAAATCTCTATAATTAAATTAACATCTGACCCAGAAAGTGTTGTCTTTATCACAGGAAATATTCAAGAAGATGGATTGACACTCCATATGTTTTCTTGACTTGAAATGTTTTCTTTTCTTAAATTTAATTTTATTTGTAACTGGGAGATAATTACTCGATAATATTGTGATGGTTTTAAACATATTTCTTAAGTATGTCCTTATTATCTGACAATAAGAACTATGTGTCCTTATACAATTTTTTTCTGCCATGTTGTACACAAAGAAAGCATGATCCGAAGGAAAGGAGGGAAACGGGTTTCTTTTAAAGAAATAAAAAAACAGTTGCTCTGTTATATGATTTGGGCAAGAACAGCCTTATAACAAACTCCTTTCAAACAACACTACTCCTGTACAGAGGAGGGCACAGCGACACACTCCAGTGTTCTTGTCTGGAGAATCTCACGGACAGGCCTGTCAGGCTACAGTCACAGAGTCTCAAAGAGGCGGACACTACTGAGAGATTAAGCACACACACCCCTGTACAGATGAAGGGCTGGGCATTCTATCCTGACTTCTGGCTGGCCCTAGCAGTGATCCCGTCCAGCTTGTTGACGTAATGTGGGCTTCATTAGAACCAAGTTAAATGTTCAAACGCACCTCATATTCTTTTCCAATGATGCTACAAGAGAAAGATGTGGATTTGCAGCCTCATGCAGAGGCTATTTCACCTCCGTGAAGCCAGAATTCTGTCCATTTGGTGTCGTTTTAAAAAGAACTGCCCACTCGATGCAGAAATGACAGTTCCTTGTCTCAGGCATCACTTTAAAAAGTTCAAAAGAAATATCTGCAGCCCAACACGGGAAAGTATTTTACCTCCCAACCCACTCAGACTTTATCACAGTTAATGCTGGCAGCGGACTTAGATGAATCAGGGAAACCATCAGATCATCTTCATACACTCATCTGTGAATTTTTGAAGCCAGACAACATTGGTAGAAGTTTTCTCTCATTTTCTCTTACTTTTCTTTCCTCTGGGGGCTGGGGAAAGAGTGAAAGACAAGTAGAGAATACACCAGAACTCTTTTTACTTTGAGGAAAGATAAGCCTCCATTTTCAAGTAATTTGAAAAGTGAGAATTCTGATACTGAAGAATTTCAGCACTGGCTTTCCTAGAAACTCAAGACTGATTTTCAAATAACAAATATCAAGGTTCAATTTCTTTACAGTTGTGAGTTTCATTGTGAAAAGAAAGAACGGGAGGAGGGGAGTAGATGATTCTATATTTTGCTTGATATTACACAAAGTAATTTAACATTAATGAAGGACTAGTGGATTTTACAATTTTTACTGTTCCTGTCATAGCTAAAAAGTCATGTCATGCCCAAAAAACAGGCCTGAGTTGATAGGTTTTTTTGATACAAATTTTAGGTTAGATTAGAGGATTTTGCAGAAGTCTAAGTCATGGTTTGGGGTGAAACTGAACAATATGTTTGAATCCAGTGTCCATCTGAAGCTCATTTCTGTTCACATCTTTCTCCTATTTTGCCAGCATCCTGCAGTTTCCCAGCTCTGGGGTCCGAATACAGATGGCTACATTCTCATACTGGGCACCCAGAGAAGGTCACATGCTTTACATCAATGGCAATTAGTTCCCCTTTTTAAAATGGAAAATGTCATTAAGTTCTTGAATAATTCAAGAGTAGAGGTCACAATACAGTGTCCCTTTTGGGGGTCTTTATGGTGCAAATGGCAAAACAAGGCGATCCTATCAGTAAGAGTAGATCTAAGGTTTACAATGTAGCTCTATTTAGTGTGACAGGAAAATTAAATTACACGAGGCACTCATTCATCGTCACCCGTTAACAGGCTTGGGAAAACTGTGGATCCCCGGGGGCAAATCACTGACAACGTGCGAGGCAAATAAAAATATGTCATTTTAATTGGCCGTCGTTTCCTCCGCTTGGTTTTGAAAATGGTCCCCCACCACTCTCCTTGGATATAGGGTCCTGAGTTGCCCAGGCACGACCACAGCTTAAGGACGGGTTAAAAATTCTGGGGGACACGGGTCTGTTTTCATAGCTGTAGTTGAGCTGGTCTGGATCCAGGGGTCCCTGGAAAGGAAATACAGGGGAAGATTTCACATATAAACCGGCGTCCGCGGCTCCCCAACCCGCCCCTGAGGGGTGATCTGTACGGCAGTCACTGTGTTTCTGGAACCGGGGCTGCCCTTCAACCTGCAGGGTGTCAGGAAGAGGCCAGGAGGGGGGACCAAACGACGCCGGGGCCACCAACCGCCCTCCCTCCCCAAGGGAGAGAAAAACCGCCCCGGCCTCGGCGGGCCTGGCCCCGGGCTCCCGGGCTGGGGTCCGATGGATGGGGTCGAACCAGAGGCAGCGTGTCCTCTGAGGTCACCGACCGAAAGGAAAGCTGTTCCCGGGCCGCGCCAGCACATCCTCGCCATACACGTTCCCTGCGACCCCCACGATCCCAGTTCGGGCCGGTGGGCGTGGCCGCCGGGGACCAGCTCGCACCCTTGACCACCCCCGGGGAACTCGGAGCTCTGGGCCGCTCCACCTGCGCGCCCCGCCGCGCGCCCTGAGGTCTCCCGCCCATCGCGGCGCCCTGCGCACCTGCGGGGCTCCCGCCCTGCTTCCCGCTTCTCCCGGAGCAGAGCGTGGTGGGGGCGGCCCCTCCCCGGGGGCGCCGGAGCGCCTGCGGGTGAGGTTGACCCTTCCAGTGAGTGGGGCGCCTGGGGTCGATCCCCTGCGACGTAGGACCTGGAAAAGGCAAGAAGGACCACCCGTCTGCCTGTTGCTTTTTTTTTTCTTTTCAAGAAATAATATCTATCTGGCGCTTCCCTTTTTCGGGCTCCCAGACCAAGACGCTGCGAAGTCCTGTGCTGGCTATGTGAGCACCGAGCGGGGCTAGGCGGACCCCCCTGCCCCGCACCTCGCGGTACTGCGCGCATCTCCGCCGCGGGCGCTTGGCCGCGCGGGGAGGCCCGGCTCGGATGCGCGCCCCAGGATGCGAGGACCCGGGAAGGGGGCGGCTGCCTGGCCTTGGCAGAGGGTCCAGGCTGCTTACGGGGAGCGGGAGGCCGGTTCAGAGGCTGCGGTTCCCAGAGGAATGAGGACCGCGGGGCTGCTGGGTTTCTGAAGCGGTCCGACGTTAGTAGCGCTTAGGTAAAGCAAGACACTGCATTTTAAAGAAAAAGTTCTATTTCAGCGTGGCTGCTGCCTCGGGCGAATAATGGGTGTCTGAGCCTCCGTATCTTTGTAGTTGAATTAAAAGTCGAATTAAGGAATACATTTCCTTCTTGGAGTTGGGGGAGCAGAGGGGTCAATTCAGAGGTTTTTCATTTTCTAAACGCTTCAATTTAAGCAAACACTTGGGGGCTCCGGGCCGCTGTAATTCCAAAGACAATTTTCCCTGGTTTTAATTTGATTTGCATTTTTTCAACTTCGATAATATTCAATTTCATGGCTGAATACACAGGTAAACACTGTTAGGTCGTGTTTTTTCGCCCCCCTGCACCAAACACAATGTCGCTTGTTTCAGAATGCCAGGGGAGGTGACACCCGGTCCCAATTATATCTGCGGGTTTTTCCTGAATTATTTTCCGAAATATCTCGGCTTCCTCTAGGCACCAGAAGCGCGAGGTATAGCTGAAGGGCTCTGCAGGTGTAGGGCGAGCAACACAAACATGGCCCAAAGGAAGGAGGAAAAGCAAACAGGTTCTTATTCTGCATAGAATCTACTCTAATTTTACCCAGAAACATTTAAAAATATTTTATTAGTAGTTTTAAGCAATCAAAAAATGATCAATATACTCACTTCCCCCAGAAATACTTTCAGTGTAAATTTTGTCGCTAGAAAGATGAACATTGAGAAATACAAAGAGTTAGTCTTTGCAAGAAGTTTAATTAGCAGCTTTGAGCTATTTTATCAAGCATAAAATTTAGAGAAAAATATGTCATGAAATCGGTTAATTAGCTTTAGTTGTATCAAAGCTGATATTTAACAAAATGCTACTGTTAGTAACCTTGGGGCCAGATGCTCAGAGCTGCGTGCAAACAGCTACACCAAAGGCTAACACAGGTGGATAGTAATCCTCCGACACGACGTCCACCATGCATCTTGTAAAAGATAGTTGAGCATCATTAAATATACAGCTAGTTTGGCACATAGTAAATCTATCACAACTCCAATGCATTTTATATTCCTTCACGAAACTGGCACAAGAGGTAAGTAGCAAAGAAATGACATACTTAATTGGTCTGTCCAGGGGTATTTATATAACAAAATAGCACTCTCAGGAACAATTCCTCATTTAAGGAACATATATAATATATAATATATATGTAATTTGCTTAATGGTCATTACTCTGAATCACTATTTCTATTTTAAATCCTAAAAATTTACAGATTTGAATGTCTTATTTTGTAAGATTTTTTTTTTAACTGAAGAGCTTATGGACTATATTAGTGACTTTAAACAATTATAAGATATTAGAGTTTTGGTATCTTGGAAAGAATAGATTCACTGGTTATAGTGGTGAGATGTTCAGAAATTTCTTTGCTTGAGGCTGGCTGATTTTGGCAAACAGTATTGTGCCGATCTCCTTGGCAAAATACTCCTTTCATCGTACGAAAGGGGTTTAAGCAAACTAGAAAGGAATTTCTTTTGAGATAGTACCGACTTTGAAAAAGAAAGTTCCTTAATTTTTTTAAAATACTATCATCATAGAAGGCTTACTGCACCGAAAGCTTTCAGGAAAACTGACCTTTATCGTTTGACTTTTAATTTTTTTCAACAATTATTGAATTTTAAATGATCATTGTTTAGGATTCATCCTAATCCTCCGTATTGTGGGTGGCTGGCAATTATGTCTTTCTGTTTATCTTACACAAATAGATGGTGGAGTTCGATGTCCACAGATGACAGCCATGCAAACCTCCTCCTGGAAAAGAGCTCATGACAGGGACACAGCTAAAACACACGGTCCGCTCGGAGGATGGCAAACTACAGGCAATAGGAATCTCTTTTTCTTTCTCTAGTCCTAATGGAGGAGGAAACGGGGATCTTTCTAAGAACCTAAAAGCACTGATCATCAGAGTAAGTTTGCCAATTTCATTTGCTTTTACCCCCAAAGAGCTCTGTGTGCAGGCAGGCAATCTAGAAGCAGCTGTCAGGCATAGTAGACAGCAATCGCCCTCACTTCCAAATATTCAGCTGTGTGTGAGCAGCCAAAGATGGAGGAGGCTCGGCTGTCCTGGGGTGGGAGGGGGAAAGGAGGAAGGCCTCGGGAGGTCCTGAGCAGTAGGTCTTAGCCAGGGGTGGGGGGAGACTGGCTGGAGAGGGAGCCCAAGTGTCAGTAGGAAGCTTCCGCTACAGAGGTAGGAACATGGGAGGCTGTGTCCTTTGGGGGAGACGTTACTTCTCAAAGGAAGGAGTAGCACCCCCTGAAAGACCTAACCGCTTTAGGGAGGATAGCTGAGGGTGCTCCAGGTGGCTCAGTGGTAAAGAAACGCTTGCCAATGCAGGAGACACAGGAGACTCAGGAGATGCAGGTTCGATCCCTGGGTCAGGAAGATCCCTGGAGAAGGAAATGGCAACCCACTCCAGTATTCTTGCCTGGAGAATCCTAGGGACAGAGGGGCCTGGTGAGCTACAGTCCATGGAGTCGCAAAGAGTCAGACATGACTGAGCAACTGAGCATGCACAGTTAAAGACTGTGGTCCCACTGTCCCTTCATGATTAATAAGAGCAGGAGCCTAACGCAGGGGTTGGGGGTGGGGAGTGTGTGTGTGTCTGTGTGTTTGTGTGTGTGTGTGAGAGAGAGAGATTCCGTTAAACGCAAGGGAGAAATCCTGCAGTTACTTTTAGTTGTTTACTGAGCAAGGGCAAAATCTAAACAGTGATTTCCAGGATCAATGAAGGGATCGTCTCAGGTTCCTGAGCTGAGCCCCCTAAATGAGTCTGGCATCCTGATAACTGCAGGTTAGCACCTGAGATCAACTCCTTCCTGCAGCTCGATGCTGGCAAGAGATATGGAGGCATCTTGTTCTGAGCTCTGGGAAGGGCGAGGCGAGAAGGGGATTTAATTGTCTGCCTGGGTGAATCGAAATGTCCTTCTAAAGCAAAGAAATCAAGAGAGATTGGCCTTTAATTGGCAAACTTGGCTGGTTGGAGGGGAGTGGTGATTAAAGTGGAGGAGGATAAAGTGCAGATCAGACCCCTGCCCCTAGCTTACCCCCACAGATTCCAAGTTTCCATTCTCCTCCTCCTCTCTAGAAGGCTAGGCGCCTGGTCTGGCCTGCGCCTGGTCTGACCGTGGTGACTCTGCCCTTCTCCCCATCTCAGTCTAATGCCTCCATTGTCAGTTTGGAGTGGGGAGACTGGTTTAATCCAAAACTCTAATTATTTCCTAGAGCTGGTCATCCCCACACCCAAGACATCATTGGGTGCAAAGTGGGTCTTAGGACTCAGTTGTTCAGAACATCCCCTGGAATCCCCAAAGGGGAGGGCCCCTGTCTGCAGGAAGTCCCATCCCACTTAAAACAATCTGAGAACTTATCTTCCAGTAAGTAGAAAAGAAAAGGAGACCTCCAGGCCAGGAGGGCCTGGCACAAGCAGGCAGCAGCCATCCTTGGCTTGCACACCCGTTTGCGTGTGTGCAGCTCCACTGGGGTGGCACTCTGCCCCCAGAATGCAGGCTTACTGAGGCGGGGTCCCAGTCTCCTTCTGGGATGGAGGCAGCCCAGTCCCCCCACCACCCACCTCCCCCCCCAGCATCCCATTCTGGGCCAGACCTAGCGGCAGGTGTTGACCAGATCTGCATTTGTATGCACGTGGGGGAGGCAGCAGTGGGGGCAGGGCCTCGATGCCCGTACAGCTGCGCTGGGGTTAGAGTGTGCAGGGGCCCAGCTGTGGTCAGGTGTACATTCCAGTTGTGTTGTCACCTGGGCTGTTGGGCCACCAGGTGCGGGTCAGAGTGAGGTCAGAGGCCCCCATCAAGATCCCTAGTCAGGAGTAGAACTGACAGGTGGCACCTTGTCTGGATGATTTTAAGTCTATACGTAAGCTATTGTTTCTGCCCCTGACATTTTCCTCTTCTCTGGCATTTTCTCTCCTATTCCCACTGCAAGAGTCATCTAGCTGCCGATTCTCTGTGCCTCTTCTCCCTTCCAGCCTTAGCCTGTGGGCCCCCAAAGCTTGAATGGGGAGGAGTCATGGTCCAGTCTGACTGATCCTCTGGTCAGCTTTGGGTCCATGGCACATGGGAATTCTAACTCCAAGAAAGAAAAGGAGACCCTTTCTAGGACAGCGCTGGGAGGGTCTCTGCCATCCTTTTAAGAAGTGTCCAAGCCTGTTCTTGAGATCTTCTTGTGTCTTTCCAGCCTTCTTCTAACACTGGGGGCTCCTACCCCAACCCCCTCCTTGCTTACCATCAGCAACTTTGAAAACCTGGGGGTCCTAGTGAAAACAGACCTCCTACTGCATTAGAATCAGAGAGTTTTGCGCCCAGATCACATGAAACCAGGGAAAGTTGAAAGAATACAGAGGTAAAAGACTTGGATTCAATGCTGAGCTCTGAAATTGGAGCCCTTTCTTTAATTTCTCTCTGCCTGGGCCCATCACCCATAAATTCTGACAGCTACTGGGGATAGGGGGTCTTAAATGAGGTCATGCTCATTGAAGACGCCTAGCTTGGTGCATGGTACAGAAGAGGACCCCACTTAGAGACGGTAGATGGAGTACAGTCGTGATCAAGAAAAGAGGGGGAGGGGCTGGGGCAGGAAAGAGAGAAACACTAAGATGGTAGAAAGTTTTGCCCCAAAATGCACTCATCTTTTTTGGGTAGAGGGTAAATTTTCTCTGCTAGCAAGTTGTTGAACTTGCAACTTCTTTCTGTGTGTAAACAGCTCAGTTTCATGTAGCTCAGAATTGCAGACTGAATAGAAGAT